TACTCAAGGGGGTATCGAAAAGATCTTTTTCCTCAAACAACAGATAAGACTTACAGGGTGACTCACTAAAGCGACTCTTCAAAGTGAATATTACATTTAAGACCAGAGTAGCCAAACTAATAGCATAGATAAATTAGAGTTTTTTTCAAGATCAGCTATTTTGACCTTAAATTGGAATTTCACTTCAAATTCTTACCTTAGTGAATATCCCTGTGAGTGAAGGGCAATGGGAAGCCAAAGGAAGAGCAATGCATATTATAATGAACGGGTCATCTGTTTCTTTATTTAAACACAAAGGGGGTTTAAAACATAACAAACAATAACAGTGGCAGGAATTGGGATTGCAACCAATAACAATAACAGGTTTAATGAAATTATATCCACCTCTGGTGAGAGAGTGTCTAAACATCACTGACTCAAAGTGGCAGGCTGTACTGATTACATTATACTTACAAAGAAGTGTACAACCTAATACACTGATTTTAGAACGTAACATTCCATCAGTATTAACCACCTGTATTCCACTGTATTAACTGTATTTCAGTTTGGGTCACAGCCATTGCATCTCCAGAATCCAGATTCAGTAACAACAGAGAGTACACAGTCTCTAGGAAGGAGGCTGGCCATGTAGTCTCTGTTCAATTGGCACCAGGTGATGTGGGCAGCCATTGTAAGGTGGTGAAGCTTCCATTACACTAAAAACCTATGAAATTCATGAATTCCTCGTAGTAAAGACATGCCTGAATTACAGACATCTGTTTAAATCTATAAATATTTTTTCTATACATTTGTAACGAACGCTGGTATTTTGTATAACCGTTCGTTCATATGCTCCCGAACTGCTAGGGACTTAGTGATTATAGCCCGCAGTCCGGAGAGCTGATTCGTACGTTCCCAAGAATCAAAGTGCAGCATGAAAGTAAATTCAGCGGTTCATCAGTCACATACCCAAACATCAGCCTAGACTAGATAAAGGGTACAACAGGAACGGTTTTATTCAGACCAGATGGCTGTCTTTTATGCAATTCATGAGTACAGTATACACGCCCAGAAAAACTCCCACAACACGCCCACGAAATTCGGAGTCACTGTGACTCTGCATAAAATACAAAATATTAAAAGTACATAACAATACACACAAAATATATAGGAACACCCATAAATGTCATATCCCCGGATATGCTGGATCTGAGCGCCTAAGTTGTCCAGCTATCGCTCAGATTCCACGAACACAGCCGAATCACCACCGGGGTAAAGTTTTGACTGACCACTCATGAGGTGTCTGTCTGAAATAGTTCCATAGTTTATGTGGTAGCGGTTGGTCAATTTAGGGAGTTCCAAACTGAACAAAACAACGAACGGTTCCCCTGGCTTATAGGTAGGGTTTGATCACCTTTTCCATGGGAACAAACCTACCGAACAGTGCTCTTCTGGCTTGTCTTTGAAGAGAAGTGGTGTTTGCGGGGTCGAGTGTTCGACTTGGAGTTCCAGACATTCGATGACCAAGTCCCGCTGCCTCATTTCGTGCGACAAGATGGCCAATGTTTTCTCCAGCGTGTGTTGTTCAGTTAAACGAATGGTGGCCACACAGGGAGAGCACTAATTCCTGTGGTTTTCTTTGAAAACCCAGGGGGTGATCGGTGTTCAGTAAATTCATCTACCGAATGCAGAAAAACTAATTTTGGGAACCAAAGTATGTAGGTTTGTCACATTATTTTAGCAATTAATTAACAAATGCATTCACTTTTTTCCCATTCTTTATTTCTGCAAAAACATCAATTGAAATTGACCATGGTTAACAAGAAAAATACATGTCTATAGGGTACAGTAGGCATGTGTAAATTGCAATAAAGTGTCTCAAAATGCATCTAAAATTAACCTTTTGCCATATAATTAACCTTATATAACTAATATGTTTTATTTTGTGAATGTAATGAATGGTAAATTCATCAGGAAAAAATAAGGGCAAAAAAATCCAAAAGAGAAATAAAAGGTGGTGGAAAGACAGATTATTTTTGTGCTGTACAGAAAAGGCAAGAAAAGGTAATTTATATAGCTCCAGCTTATTCCGCAGCACTTTACAATAAAAGGGGAATTTACCAAATGAGACATTAACAAAATGTAACAGGAACAATAGGTAGTTGAGGACCCTGCTCAAACGAGCTTACAGTCCAGAGGAGGTGGGGTATAAAAACACAATAGGAAGGGTATTTTTTTTTAAAGTATCCTAATAATCTCGTAGAATAAAAATAAACAACCTCCATTTCGGTCTTTTTAGCCAATCACTCCAAGGCATAGAGAATGCTGCGGTTGTTTTCTATCGAAATCTAGAAGATATTTAGAGACTCTCTTGTCTACACATTTAGTTTAGGATCTCACCTTCCATATAGTTTCTCCACTGTGACAACTATGGTCTTTTATGTTTTAACGTTGTTTTATAGAAACTATAAGTGGATGTAATTTATTATTTATAGTATATATTCCCTTTCAAAGGAATTACCATACTGGATATATATTTGAAGAGGAAAGATTATGTGTGTGCAGCTTAGAATGCAGCCTCAGTTTTTAAGGCAGTTTAATACAAATGGAATTTCCCAGGTTGCTCTAACATATTTTATGTATATTGCTTTCTTAATCTTGTTTAATTATGTTCTCATTTGAAACTAGACTTTAGCCATATGGCACATTTTGTATGTTTTTTTTTTTTTTTTATGAATTTGTGTGTATTTGGGGTACTGCAATCTCTGTGCCTTTAATAAATCCTGTATTCCCGACTTGGGAGAGGGTATAAAGACACTAACATGGCACTAATCTTGAGAGAGCCCACTTCAGAGGGGCAAAACGCGTTGATTGTGCCCGCCAAGCCATTCTGAACTTTTAATCAGCATGTGAGGTACTGCTTTCCAGCGGTCAGTGGAGTTGGCGTTGTTCCAGGACTCCGGCTCGAGTGCACACAGCAGTCGATATCTCTCTGTCAACGGACCAGTAACTTCAGAGTGTATTGCTGGATAAAACTTACTATGTGCTTTTACAGTGGGACTTGAAGACAAGCACCACATCGATATTGTGTAAGAGTTCCTAGAAGGGGAATTTGGGATGTTTTAAATAAATATACAGTATTACACTATGCTGCCATTTTTTGTAATTTAAGGTGGATACAATATAACTTTGAAGTTACACAGAGGTGGATACTGATCAAGCACTATCGGATAGAAATGTGCAATTCGTTTTGGTCTGAATGTAAATTCGGACGAATTTCGGCAATTCGGACATTCAGAAGTACGGAACCGAAGTGCCAAGTGCCAACGTACTGAATTTCGGAAGTGACGAACCGAATTGTTGAAATTATGAATTTTGGAAGTGCCGAAGAGCTTCAGATTTCTGAAAAGTGGCAAAACAGGAGAGGGAGAGAAAATTAAGGGAATGATGACAGGAATCTAACCCTTACCCTAATCCTACCCCTAACCCAATGCCGAACCTTTCCCCTAACCTAACCTAACCACAACCCAAACCCTAACCCTAGTAGGGTTAGAGGTAGGGTTAGGGGTAAGTTTAGGGTTAGGGATAGGGGTAGGGTTAGGGAATTGCTGATGTCCAGAATTCCCAAAGTGCCAAAGTCCGTAAGTGTCGAATTGCCGAAGTCCAGAATTTCTGATGTGCTGCACCGAAGTGCCAAAATGCTGAATTGCCGAATATTTCTTATCTAGGGGTATATCAACTAAGCGCTGACACTTCAGTTTGTATTTTGTAAGAAAAAAGTCATCAATGCATAAAGGATTCATACATAACTGGTGCAAATTAAAGTGGATACAACAATGTTTACACATAAAACCATTGATTCATGCATGAATACTAAAAAACGACTTCCTCAAAATCCAGTTTCACGGTGACTGAAATAATTTGATGGAATGATATCTAATGCATTCACATGGCTCGGATGGCATTGTCTCTGATCTGTTCAAGAATGTTTTGATTTCTGTACATATATTAGAGGATACAAGCCTCACAAGTGATGCTTTTTCCATCCTTGCAACAAGATGCTAGGCAAATACTATTATGATTAGCAAATCTATGTATTTAAAAGTCATTAGATTTACACAATGTATAGATGGAATTATATGCAGATGAATTCAGGATTATGCCACACTTTTGCACTATTATGTTTTTAATGAATTGATCACTATTGTTTGTGTCCTACTGAAACTTCCGGTTAGTAGTGGTCTCCACTTTCAGTTTTTCGTCACATAGTTGATAGCTTTTGCACATGCGCAATAGGGAAATTCAATGCAGCCAACAAAACATTGTAACTAAATAGCAACAATTTAAACTCCCTCTGACTTCTACAGTGACCTACTGTGGTTCTTGTTAGGCCTTTTGGATGTTAATTCATTTGTGGTGGATGTTTGTTTGAGTCTGGCCTTCCTCACCGTTCCCCTTTCTCTAATTGTAAATCACTGCAGAATATGTTGGCACTGTAGAAATACTACTACTGCTAATAACAATGGTTTTGGCTCTGATCAGTACTCGTAGAACTGTCTGCTCTGGTATTTTTCATCTCTGCCTGGCACTTAGTCTGTTTCTGATTATGTTTTTTCCATTCTTATATTTTGCCTCATCTGAGGCTATCACATTAAACATCAGACATTGCCATCTTAATTGTGATAAACAGTTTTTTTTTTTTTTCTTACAGCTTTCATTAGAAACCCTTTGTAATTAAAGAGGCAGTGTCGGTTTTAGGGACCTTATTTGCAAAGATCCCCAAGGCGTCATGTGTACTAACAAGGTAACATGCGGGGCAGAAGGGGAAAGCTATATATTCGTACCTTAAAGGAACACTGGATTCACTATAACTGTGTCACCTTATTGAAGTTGTTATAGTGCTATAAATATGCCTTCTTGCTCCTATCCTCTACTTAGTTCTATAAATATTAATACCTCCAAGTTCTCTGATTCAGGTTGCCGGGAATGATACTTCCCAACTCTCACACTCATTCGTACCATGACGTCAGCTTAGCCTAGCGAGCTGTTATTAGTGGTCATGGGCCTGTGCTTGTCAAGAATGAATTCCTCCAAGGTGCTGTGCTCCATTTCGCAACACGCAGTATCACTTATCATTCACAGTCTCCCTCTGTTAGTTTTGTCCATTTGTCGGCTGAAATGCTGATGATAGCAACTACAAAGTAGGCGGAATGTGAGCAGCGAGCTGAGCTGCCAGTCAGCTTGTTACCTGCGAACATGAACCCCATGCACATGTGCAGTATAGCATTCACTGCTTCTCAGAGAGGAGCATTGTGATCAATGTTTTTCTATGGGAAGTATTTGACGTCATCTTACTTGATGCCAAAAAAGGAAGAGAGCAGACTGCTGCGATGGGACTGCTGTCAACACTGGAATAAAGATAAATAAATAATTATTTTCTCAAAATGTGATAGGTAAAGGGATGCAAAACAATACATAATGTTTAATACAGATTAATTATTAAAAAAAAAAAAAAACTAAAAAACAATAAATTTCACAGTGCAGTGTTCCTTTAACCTCTCAATCCACAGTCCTGCTTTTTTTTTCTTAGTCTAGGTCTTCAGCTCCCGGTGGCTTCGTCTGACTGGAACAGAACCGTTATGGTACACTTGCGCATACGTACGTCTACAAGATGTGATCTATGAAACATCCTACAAGGCCATGGTATATTCCACAGATGATTTCACACATGCCCACTGAGATGCTATAGGCATCTATTAAGCATCGCAGCAGAAGATACCAGTTCCCATCAGCTTTTGCACGTGGGATGAGGTAGGAGGCTCCACTCATTGCCACATTATGCCAAAAGAATCAGGTCCATCATTGGACAAAGTTGTCTCTTTCTGTAGGAGTTTCTATGAAATTGTTTTTCATAAAGAGTATATTTCTTTGAAAAACTCAAAGGGGGCATGCTTGCTATACTGAAGCAGTGTAGAGATTGAATTAGTGTTTATTTACTGAGCAGTGAGTCGGGAAATGTAGTAAACCGACTTGAAAGATCTAAACTCAAACACTAGGTCCTAAATCTCATGTTAACACAATCATTTATATTTCGTGATTAAAGGACCACTATAGTGCCAGGAAAATATACTTGTTTTCCTGGCACTATAGTGCCCTGAGGGTGTCCCCACCCTCAGGGTCCCCCTCCCGCCGGGCTCTAGGGGGAGGAAGGGGTTAAACTTACTTCTTTCTCCAGCGCCGGGCGGGGGACTCTCCTCCTCCTCGGCTGAATGCGCATGCGCGGCAGGAGCCGAGCGCGCATTCAGCCAGTCCATAGGAAAGCATTCACAATGCTTTCTTATGGACGCTGGCGTCTTCTCACTGTGAAAATCACAGTGAGAAGCGCGGAAGCGCCTCTAGCGGCTCTCAATGAGACAGCCACTAGAGGCTGGATTAACCCTGTTATAAACATAGCAGTTTCTCTGAAACTTCTATGTTTATAGAAAAAAGGGTTTAACCTAGCTGGACCTGGCACCCAGACCACTTCATTAAGCTGAAGTGGTCTGGGTGCCTATAGTGGTCCTTTAACCTCAAGTTTCTGAGCACTTTTATTTATATATTATATGTCTGGCACTACTGTTTCTAACTAACTCTTACATTCTTTGTAACAGGACAAATTGGTAAAAATACAAATTTTTATGATATTTTAAAATGGTAAATTCAATGCAGGGTTAAATAGCAGCTGAAATAAAAACAAACACATGGAAAAAGTGCTTCTGCAGAGGGGTTCAACACCGCCCTCTGCTGCTAAGTTACAGAATGGGCTCACTTAGTCCAGGTGATAGAACTTCTTCCAAGATATAACCTTCCCTGCCCTTCTTCCACCCCCTCTCCCCCCAAAAAACACACCAAGATAACAATCAATTGTTCTTTATGTGTTAGCCCTTTTATTACTCCATAATGCAATAAAGGTTCTCTAGAAAGGTTAGATGACCACTGGAAGTTCTAACCTGTGTGTTTTCTTTTTACCTCTTCTGACTAACCTCTCCACCTGATCTTCGACTGCTGCTTTATTCCCAGACATCAATTTGCCCTGATTGCAAGCAGTTTCCGCAGGTCCTCTCTCCATTGATTTTCCATCTTCCCCACGCAGTGAGAGGGCCATGCTCAAGACAGCAATAGATTCCCTATCTATTATCTAATGGAATTTCTCCGCTCAGGAGATGTATAGATTTTCTGACACTTGATGTGTGTGAGGCAGAGGTTCTTATGGGTAACAAACGTAACCCTTTCTCTGCCAGAGAGACTAGCCACCACTAAATTACCGGTGCTAAACGATTTATCAATTTATACCATTATTTGTATCTATCTATCTATCTATCTATCTATCTATCTATCTATCTATCTATCTATCTATCTGTCTGTCTGTATATCTGTCTGTCTATCTATCCATCTCTCTCTCTCATTCTATATCTATCTATCTGTCTATCTATCCATCGTTCTATCTGTCTGTCTGTCTATCTATCTATCTATCCATCTCTCTCCCTCTCATTCTATATCTATCTATCTATCTCTCTCATTCTATCTATCTATCTATCTATCTATCTGACTGTCTGTCTGTCTGTCTATCTATCTATCTATCTATCTGTCTGTCTGTCTCTCTGTCTGTCTATTTATCCATCTCTCTCTCTCATTCTATATCTATCTATCTCTCTCACTCATTCTATCTCTATCTATCTGACTGTCTTTCTGTCTTTCTATCTATCTATATATCTATCTGTCTATCTATCCATCTCTCTTTCATTATCCATCTATCTCTAACATTCTATATCTATCTATCTAGCGATCTCTCTCATTCTATATCTATCTACCTATCTATCCATCCATCTATCCATCCATCTATTTCTCTCATTCTCTATCTATCTATCTATCTATCTATCCATTCATCCATCCATCTATCTATTTCTCTCATTCTATATCTATCTATCTATCAATCTATCTATCCAACTCTCTCCCTCTCATTCTATATCTATCTATCTATCTCTCATTCTATCTCTATCTCTCATTCTATCTATATCTATATGTCTGTATGTCTATCTATCTATCTATCTATCTACGTACATAGACACTTAAAAAAATCTGATGATGTTTGACAGTGATACATACACACACACGTCACCTCTGCTGTATTCCAAATAGTGTATGCTATGATGTAATGGGTACAGAGCATAATATTAGAATTGTTTCTTTGTAGCTGTGCTAAACATTTATCATGCATCCAGTTAGAACAACAATTGCTTCTGTTATTATATATTCCTCTGTGGCAGGTTGAGAAACTAACTAACCCTTGAATAAAACAGCACGGATTGTGTTCTCAGCGGTATCTGTTGTTATGTTTTTCGTAGGTTACAAATGCGTGGGTTTGTGTTGACACATTTGGCAGAAAAGTATGTTTGTGGGAAGACGGACAACAGAAGGGGTGCCTGCAAATGAGAGAAGAGGTATAATATCAGAGGAGAAAGAGGGAAAAAAACGAACGGAAAATAATTAGAGGTGGGAGAACCATATGAAAGGGGGAAAAACAGGAGAGGAGAAACAGATATTGACATAGATAATATAAACACGGTCATTGAGGAGGTGTGATAATGAAATGCAAACATAAAAGAGAGTATGATGGGGGTTTACTTGAAGAGAAAAAACAAGTGTAAACGAAATAGGGATACAGGAAATAGAACAGAACAGAGAGATGAGGTAAATTAGAAAATATAGATTCCACTGCGAATCTATAGTGAAAAGAGAGACACAATGAGAAGGTGAAAAAACAAATGAAGAGGGGGAAGGAAAGAGGAGGTAGAAAGAGAGAGAAAAAGAGAGAGAGAGAACTCAGGCCCGTAGAGGGACTTGAGCTGACAGCAAAATCTGTTTCACCCAGAACAGAGCCAGATGTCAGGTCAGCAAATTTTGGAAGGACACCAAGTCTCAGAGTGAGAGAGAGAGAGACTCCTCCAGAGCAGCTTTCTGAAACAAAAGGCCGTCTGATTCAATCTCAGGAGCGGCGCCCTGCCCTGTGGCTTGTGCTGGGGTGGCTGTTTGCAATCATTACCTCATTGCCAGATTGGATTTATTTAATGTATGTGGGGCCCTGGGGCAAATAGACCAGTTAGCCCCCCAAAAATGGAACTTGCCTCAATTAACCTCTTTAGTGCATTTGACGACAATTACAGGCGTGCGATATACATCACTCTCCCTCTCACTTTAACCACCTTTAAACCATCTATATACCATGTCTACTTGCCAAGTGATTTAGAATGTGGGTAAAAGTCTAACATGCCAGATATACACGTGCTCTGTCTGTATTTTTCATGGAATATGGAATGCAAAAAGTAAAAGCATTTTGTATTCTTTATTAAATACATTCCAAAAGTACATTTTATCCTACAGAGCACGTGTTCTAAAGCATCTACAACCACTTCTTGCATTGTAAACATAGCTGAATTACGGATACAAGAGTAGTCAAAGAGGTTGTTCCTAATTAAATAAAATATGTCCTCATTATTTTACACGCATTTCAAGCATATTTAGTGTGTCTCCTTAGTTTGTCCACAAACTCCACAATGTTTTTTAAGGCATCAGAATGACTGTCAATAACTAAACTGAGGACAAAGAACTTCTCGGATACTATGTTTCCTAAAATGTTACAATAGGTTGGTAAGAATTGTATGCACTATATACTGATGCCTTAAAACAATACATTGCTCAAGTCTGTATATAAGATCAACAAAATATATAATTATATTGTGAGTTACGGCCTGTGCCAAATAAATCTAAGTGAAGTGTAACAATTGTAAATGGGGAGAGAGATAAAATGAGAGATTGACAAGCACCATCACATTCCAAGCTTGCGTTCAAAAAAGAAGAAAGAATATTTTCAATATACTTATACCTGCTCTGCATCCTGCATATATTGTATCATTTATAATAGCTTTAAATATTGCACAAGGTCATCTTTTGAGAGCTGAGGAAATGGCATGTGTGAATAACTGCATTTGACTGTGAGCCAAAGATTCCATAGATGTCACTCACGAGGCGGGAGGTTTATTAAAGTGTCCTTTTCTTAAAAACAGGACAATATGAGAAATGTAAAAGGAGAGGAGTCACCAATGGAATGTGACTGACTGTTGGTTCCACTGATTTCCATGGTGATTGCCCCACTTTTAGTAGACTGTTGGTTCCACTGATTTCCATGGTGATTGCCCCACTTTTAGTAGTTTAAACTGCTT